GTATCCTCCCATTGAAGTTTTAGAACGCAATTTATCAGTCTGTAATTGGCATATGTGCGGCTGGCGAGTCTCAAATAGGACGAAACTAGCGCCCCGGATTTCACTGATAGGCACTATCCATATTTGTTTATAAAAGCTCGTGAATTAGGGCAATATCGAGGCACACACACAGTATGGACATATGCCAATAACAGACTGATCAGTCGCAGTCGTAAACCTCAGTGGGAAGATACAAGCAAAACAATACCGAGTGAAGGTTGTATTTTGGTTTCCTAATCATTTGAAGTGTCTTATAAGCTTTGAAATGATTCCATATGTCTTCTCTAAGCTTTCAACACCAATATCTAAGTTTAACAGCCGACATTATTTTATTTTAGTTTCCGTGTCCCAAATCTTCATGAATTTTGTCCAAGGCACCACTGACCATAGCCTGTGAAACTACTAGTTGTCTCCAATAGCATAGTTCATAAATGAAATATAATACTCTATATCTTATTACCAGGAATTTCTACATAGGACATGGACATTTATCTTTCTAACTCACGCATAGATTTTTTCGAACGGTGATACGAAACTCTGATTTTTCATAGCTTTATGCACCATTGAAGTTTCTAGATAGGTTCGTTTATGAGTCCGTTCGATATATTCCACAGTTTTCAGGTCGTTCTCTATGCTTCGCTAAAGGGATAATTTTCATGGGATTCAACTGATCTGTCTGATGGAGCGTCAACTTTCAGATGCTGTTAACCCGGCCGATGAATTTACTCGTAGTTGCATCCTTGTACACACCCTTGCGATTGTGCAATTTGGAGTTCGAAATCTCAAATTTCTGTTGCCGCTCTATATCTTAATAATCTGTAGCTAGCAAAATTTAAATGTTGTCGACGTTCTACTTTTCATAAAGAAAACAATTCACCTGGACGACGTTTCTCAGGTGGTTGAATTTGTGATTCAACCGATTGTTAAATTTTGGGCATCAATATTATTTTAAAAAATTTTCATTAATTAGTACCAGAATTGTTCTCATCTGCATCAAATTTCGATTTAACTTTTGGGCTTGTCACTTTTGTTTTAGACACACTGGTATCCCAAGACTTTCTATAAGCCCACCAAAAATATTGTGTGAATTTCAAACACTTTGCTAAAATAGTCATTGGAGTAAGTTCTCCAGCGAGATCTGTTAGCTTCTAACCACCAGCGACTGCCCAATCAAATGTGTTGATCCAACCAATCGGCTAATCAAGTAATTTAAATTTACCGCCTTTCTAACGTTTCATGTTCGTAGTTTTTAAAAAGTGTGTAGCCAAGTGCAAAAAATCAGTTATCTCAAGTACTACAGTATTTCAGTTCCGTTTTACTGGTAAATCTTTGAACGAAGCAGACCATTGGACTCATTAGTTCTGTGCCGAAACGTACCGCGAATTTAAACAAATTCCCCATTTATATGGTCTTGTATGAATCCAGTAGCTATCAGAAAACTAAACGCAACACATTTTCGTGGTCCTGTGGTTCAATTAAACGAAGATTGTGTTACCCGTAGTTTTAATGATCCTCTTAACTTTTGCTTTTATCTAAGAATAAGACAGAGAGCTCTGCTCTTTGTCAGTAACGACTCCTATGGACTTTACGTTCTACTAACGTTTCACCACCATACATTTTAATTTATATCAAGTAAGCTTTCGCTTATTGCTACCTACGTCCGTATAACCAAACTCATAAAGTAAATTCACCCAACTTTCAACACACTAGATCACAAAACAAGGCAAACGATCGAAACTTGACCTAAAATATGACTGTTCAGATGAAGTTTAATTTTTATTATCTGTTATACATCGTTGACAAGCATTTCATGATCCATTGAAAGGTAACAACAAGGCTTCGACCATGGTGAACTTCTAATTAGAAAATTGATAAACCTCTGAACTAGCATAGGAATGAAGGTAATCATCCAACCTATAATAGTATGGAATTTTTTCTTGAGAGTAATAATTCTTACTTCGGCGGCTATTTAATCTAGCGAATTCTGGAGACGTTACTGTTGAAATACGCCTCAGTTTTTCTCTATAATGTTTGCATTGATCACTTTTCAAGTGTAGTTGCTATTTCTCAGTAAATCGACATGATGATCCGATTCTCGGGTACTTTCGAATGCTTTATCGAAAATATCGAGTAAATATAAGAAGATAAGTACTGAAACCGAGTAAAAATTGCATGTAGTGAACTGAAGAAATATATCGATGAAATTCATGAAAATAAGCACTAAGCGAAGTTCTTTACAGAATCGACAAGTGTTTACCGTTCGATAACTTTGAAAGTTCAGTGTATCTGTTCTGCATATTAAAGTATAAGTTAAAAGAGAAACTTTATCTCATATTCCAAATTTAACAACATTTGTCTTTCGTCATCTAATCTGGGGTTGTGGTAAGTTTGTAAAAAACATTTACGAGTGGGATCTATATGCTTGTTACGACAACCGCTTTCAGGTCGTATAACTCAGAAATTTTCGTGTTATCAAATGATGGTTGGAATAAAATGCATTGAAAACACCTCTACAGTTTACTTTAGCAATATTTTCAAAATAAGAATCTTATCCTAACTGAAAAAAGTCGTAATTGGGTGTTAATTGAACTGAAATATCACTGGAAGATGATAAAATCTCTGACTTCTATATATATCACTCCTATATAATGTACTGATCAATGGACACAAATATTTTGTCCACGTTTTTCAACGTCAATGATATTAATCTCAAATTACTCATCATATCGAAAAGCATTAGGACTGACAAGCAGAAATATGTGAAGGACCAAGCAACAACAGAGGAAAAAGCTACAAAAGAAAGACATATGAAACAAGTATTTGACACAAGGAAGAAACTGGCAGTGAAATATGGCAAAACAGAGACACCGGTAAACGACGAATGAGGCAAGCCAATCACTGAAACCCAAGAACAGGGGAACAGAAGGGTAGAATACTGTGAGAGACTCTTGAAGAGACCAGCTACAGTGTATTCACCATACATCAAATCGACATACACTGACATCTCTACAGAAAACAGTCCACCGACGACCAAAGTAATCAGGATGGCCATCAGACATCTGGAGAGTGGGAAGTCAGCAGGACCTGACAGACGACCTATCTCTTCCACTTCACACACACGAACAAATGCAGGTGAAGACAACCAGTGTAGCAGCAGCCTCTATATCAGCACGCCTCAACATACACATGAGAGAAAGCAAGATTCTCAAATACAACAGGGGGAACACCAACCTAATCACACTTGATGGAGAAACTGTGGAAGAGGTGAAAAGTTTTACCTACCTGGTCAGCAGCATGATCGATGAACAAGGAAGATCGGATGCAGACGTAAAGGCGAGGATTGGCAAAGCAAGGACAGCATTCCTACAGTTGAAGAACATATGAAACTCAAAACAACTGTTTGCAAGTGAACATCAAACTCGGAGTCTTCAATACGAACGTCAAGACAGTTCTACTCTAAGGAGCTGAAGCTTTGAGAACTACTACAACCATCATCAAGAAAGTACAAGTATTTGTAAACAATTATCTGCACAAGATACTGAATGTCCGTTGACCGGATACCATCAGCAACAGCCTTCTGTGAGAGAGAACAAACCAGCTTTCAAATGAAGAGAAGATCAAGAAAATACGTTGGAGGTGTATAAAATATACACTGATGAAATCGTCAAACTGCGTCACAAGACAGGTGCTATCCTGGAGTGCTGAAAGGAAACGGGAAAATGGAATGCCGAAAACCACAATACGTCAGAAATCGAAGCAGACTGGAAAAGGATGAACAGAAACTGGGATGAACTAGATATCATTGCCCAGGACAGGTTTGGATGGAGATCGCTTGCAGGCGGTCCATGCTGTCCTACAAGAGTCATTAGGTGTAAGTAATTATGTCATTGATCACATGCAACCAAATTACTAGGCACTTAGTCGTTCATTATGAAATTTGCATTTAAATGCTGTTCTCATCCCAACACATGATGAAAGTAGTCAGATCCAATATTTTCTTTGATTGTGTTATGAAGAAGTACAAACTTGTCACCAAGTTGATGTAGGACAGGCTTGAGATTTGTCCGAAATTATATGTCCTGAGCAGTCCTATCATTCCAATACAACTGCAGTGGACAGGAACAGGGATAACTAGGAGTCCCAGCTCCGGCAATGTGTTTTTAATCAAAAATCTTTTCTCTCGTCAACTTATTTTCTCACTTCTGTTTTTTTCACGATACCACAATTTCATATGTTGGTGCTCCGTTGTTCTAAAACTTGCATTCCCTATAAACTAAAGTGTCGATTACATTAAAAAAAGACAGTTTTTCGACTCTGTTATCTGACTTCATCGTGTATAGTCTTTCGCAAAAAGGGAGTTTGTCAAGGTTTGAGACAGGTTTTACTATCCATGCAGGCCTACTTATGAACTGGTTAACTGTCTTCTACCAACTTAAGTAAATCTGAACAACACATATTTGTCACTTTATCCTTCATCAAAGAGCCAAACGTCATGTTTTCTTTAGCAGGGTGAAATGTGAAGATAGTCAAAGACTATGCCGGGTTCTAATAATTTATATAAGGTAGCCTGTGATATAACTAACATTTTCTTGCACAACCTTAAACAATTCGTATGAAGATTGAATATCTCAGATTACTTCTCCATTATATGCCTGGTCTAGAAGTGAATTGGAGACGATAGTAGTAGTTCTCAACATATAATGACAATACTTTATTTCGCCAAACGGAGCCTACATTTCGAAGGCAAATTATTTTTCGTATCAGGTTTACGACAAGCTGAAATAATCCTCAGGATCACCAGAAAAACTTGTAGACACAACGTACTAAGTTAAGTGGTGGTAAAACGATAAATTTCACAGGTTGTCAAGGTCACATTATAATTAACTAGTTGCCGAACGGCATAAACACATATTCATGGGATTCTCGCCAAAATTTTCGACACACGAAAAGCTAGAAAACTGATTGACTGGCTTTGTGGAATTATTAGGAAACGTACAGATTGTTTGTAAGGAACAGGCTGAGCAACGCATTTTGACCAATATTAAAGATTATCCATACATTCCTTATTAACTTCTGCAGAAAGATTATGAGTAGTCAGAGGTATATTTTTAAAAAAATTAAACAAAATTACAAGATTACCAGTTGTAGTCTTCTGATTCGCCTAATCTTGTTAATTCATGGTTGAAACGAAAAGCTAGATCAGTTAAGTTTGCCGGGTCATGCAATTAGTCGCTTGTCGGCATGGTGATTGGTTGAGCAGAAATATGGTTCTGGTGTTACATCTAGGAATTGTATATATATCAAGAACTTTCACTGTTTTGCCGGTTTTGACTAAATTATGAGCTGGCATACATTATTCACACATTTAAACACCATAACCGTAGTCTTTATTCTGCTTGAGATGCATACATTTGAGGCAGCGCCGGTTGGTCAGAATTATATTATCATTGTTGATGCTGGTAAGTGAAAAGTAAACTTTCAAATTCTTTCAGGTAGCAGTGGTTCAAGAATGTTCGTATACACATGGCGAACGAAATCAGAGTCCTTAAGTGGTTTAGAAGATGTGGAAATTTTAAAAGATGCATCAGGAAATCCTGTGGTGAAGAAGAAAACCCCTGGTCTTTCAAGCTTTGCCAACAAGTTATCTGACATTCCTGAGTATATATCTGCTTTGTTGAGCTATGCTGAGTCACATATTCCTTTGAGTAGCCAACCTAGCACCCCATTATTTATAATGGCTACAGCAGGAATGAGGCTTCTTACACAAACGTATGCATTGATTCAATTAATCATTATGTCTTGCACTGACAGGGATCAGGATACAATTTGGAGGCATGTTCGAAGTCATGTGAAGTCCACGTATAAATTCCAGTTTAAAGAATCTCATGCTTATACAATATCTGGTGTAGAAGAAGGTTTGTTTGGGTGGATTTCTGTAAATTACCTGCGTGGAAGGTTTCGTTTACTTCCTGGAGATAAAGGTAAGGACTCTGTTATGGTATCAGATCTGACGAGTTACAATATTTTTTATTAAATAATGCTTAACATGTTACTTAAGTCGTTTTTACTTTGGGATAAACCTTGGTGAAAATAACGCAGTTCGACTACTATACTTTGTATGAATGTTTGTCATAGCTTAAGCTTACTTCTAACCAGTGAATATTCTGTTAGTTTATAGTCCATAAAGCTATGCAAATTTAATTTTCCTTCCATTAATAATTATTACCTTTTATCTGATATTTGTCATACTCAGGAAGTGAAAGGATACTTTTAACTACTCTGAAAATTATAAATTCTGGTTTTGTCCACAGGGCCTGTTAAACAACCTACTAACGGCATGCTTGACATGGGTGGAGCAAGCATGCAAATCGCTTATGAAGTGCAATCGACAGATAATCTACCAAACAGCTTAGTATCGGAATTTTCCTTAACGAGAAAATGGTTTTCCACAAATCAACGATACAAACTCTACGTTAAAAGTTATTTGGGATACGGAATGAATGCATTTCGAAAAAGGTATGTTTATTGGTGGTCTTTTGTATACTTTTTTGTTTGATCTCTCAGCTACTATATGTCGAGTTATGGTATATACCTTATATTGTTTGACGTTATCTCAAGCCTTTTTCCCTTATCATGTTACTTCAGGCTTTTCAGGCAGTTCGATTTGCAATCCAAATTTATATAATACTATACTTGTCATAAACGTGTGAAAACTGGACATGTATGGTTTGTTACTCACTAATTGATATATCACGAACTGTTGCTATGGCTGCTCTTTTATTAAATGATATACTAGTGACAGCTCTGAATATTTTGGGGCGTCATTGGTTGCGTAAGCAAGCTTTTATTTATTATTAGTTAGTTTTAGCATCAAAATAAAGTGTCTACAAAACAAAATTTCTACTTTTGCATTCACGAGGATGGTAATGACCATGTTCTCAGAATGAGGTTATAACTTGGGAAAATTGAGAAGATATATATCATTAGTTTAAATTACGTTGTTATATAGACATTTAACTCAATGTAAGAATGTTTTAAATCTAGGTGTTTGTTAATTAATGTTTTGCTTGAAAATGTTTCTTTTATGTGGTTATTTGACAAATTTTGCTACGTCAAATGTTATTTCGAGATAAAATAGCTGTTGCACTTTTTTAATTTGTTTCATAGGTATGAAGAATACCTCTTTGAAATGTTTGGGATAAATAATAGTAGTAAACAAGAAGCATCCAGAATTGAGGTAAGTTGCTCAATAATATCAGTTGCCGATCGATGCATTTATTTTAGTGCACACTATTCGTAAACATGACCTTCTATGTGCTATACAACTACTTTACTCTTGTACCCTGTTTTCTATATATTAATTTCACCTTTATCTTCTTTTTCACTTGCTACAATATGTTGGGGAATGTAGGAACAAATTATGTATAATTTCTTCATTCTTTAGTTTCAAAGTTTAGCGACTGATATCGAGTTTCAAATTATTGTGATTTGTCGTTTTATAAGATTAGTTGTATGAAAATAATGGTAGTAAATTTTATTGGGCTGATATCGAGCTAAAACATTACTGTTCACATTTTTTTAGTCATTTTAGAGGTAATAATTAAAGAATTTATGTATGACTATCTGCATAAAATATATTGACATTCGGGAAAGAAACAAACAAATCACCAGATGTGTTGAAGTGTAACAGTACTTCATAAGTTTTCACGAACGTATTTCAAATGTCTAAGAACCCAGCAATGCATTTAATGCCACTATTCCAGTGGTTATTAACGTTTTGTAGATAGCTCATAAGCATTTTAGATTCCTGTTGTTGAGTAACTATATTATTAGTATTGTTGTTCACAATAAATACATCAGGCAATCACAGAATAATTTTGCTTCCTTAGGTTGTTCATTAACAGTGTTATAGTTAGTGTTGTATGTAAATTGGCCAAAACGTCTTCTTTTGGTAAACAATTTCGAGTGAAGATGCTGTGCGAATGTTGTTTCTAAATGGGACTTTGTTAGATAATCTATCTTAGGTTGGAGAGAAGAAGATGAATTCATTATCTCTCCCTAGATATTGAATACTTTTATTCCATCATTTGTTTTTTGTTTACCAGTACTTTATTTCTCATTATAACACCTTCCTATGGTTGACTTACTTATTTTTACTGTCGTAAAGTGGGAAACTTAGGTAATTGCATTATTGTGTACTTTAGGGTTTATTTAGATATGTATGATGGTGTTATGATTTCTGAAATGGTTTTCTTCGTTTTCACTCCTCTTTTCGTGCATTCGAACGCAACTTCTAACGTTTTTATAAGATGGAAAGCCTTTGGCAGTTGGTTTCGAACCCTTCTGTTTACCGTGTACAATGAAACATACCAATTATCTCACACATGATATTGATTGAGCTTAAATAGTAGCTACAAAAACAAAGCGTATCGAGATCAGTAATTTTGTATAGTCTTCCGTATTGAGTAAACAGAACTATTTTTTCGTCCTAGAAAGTGGGCACAGATAAACTGGTTAATTATTATTAATTTAAATTCATAACGTATATCCATAAGAGCTTGTTTACTTACAGCTAAGATAATACCCAAATATTTTCAATATCTAAGATTGTTGTTCTAGTTTCAGCTAGAAACGTACACTTAATTCAGTAGAGATGTTTAATTTATAAACAGTAATATTAGTTTAATTTATAGATTTTTTTCTTTACCCTTCTAATTCTCTATCTATTTTCCACAACGTCAGTTGTTTAGAAAAGTTAAGTGCATTTTATAGTCGGAGTGAGATCGTTACTAAAACAAGTGTGGTGATTAAAGTTCGTAAGACTGAACTCATTGGTTCATATGGTCACTTTATAACCTACCAATTAATAGTTAAAACATTAGCTATTTGCTTAAGTAAGTTTCCGTATTCCCAAACGGAAATATGTTTCCTGCTTACTCATGAATTGGCAAGATTATGTTAAATATCTGAATCGGGACAGTGCGTCTTCGACTCTTGCAATAATGTTCTATTCATTAGAAAAAACGATAAGCTCATGATTATGTGGGGGAATTTTGATGTAGATTAAATCTTTGCCACTCGGCTATCCCAGAGAATTTGTAGACTAATCTAAGATACTTTGTAAAGGAAGATAGTATGTAAGTTCCATCAATTTCCTCATACTGGTTTTCCATTTACTTTAAGTAAGATATACGTTTTATAGCGATTCCTTACTTCAAGATGAATGAATCGATTTTTTTGTGGATTGGTTTAGTTCTCAGGTGGGATTTCTCACCGTTGGACTTTGGTTGGGTTACTATTGAAAGCAAAAGAATTCTAGACATCTGTTTCAGACTATTACGTAACACATCAGCAGTGCTCACCTATGGGTACCCCGAAAGTTGGACCCATGATCTTTAGGTCTTGAGGTTTCCAACTGACCTTTAAACCACTACGTTGCTATCAAGTGGTGCGCATTTCTAACTTCAGTCAATTCACGGTTTAACACTATAGTCATCGAATGTCATTAGTGATGGCTTTCACTATAGACATATCTAGCCTCCATTTGTCACCATGTTTCATTAGAACTTCAGGAATCCATCCTTACGTGGTTCACTAATGAGCATGATTACAGTGCGGTTGAATGTATTTTGTGTAGGTCAGTTCATCATTCAGAAATTATCCGCCGCTAATCACTGGGTTATTATTCATAGGAAAAACCATTAGGAAATGGGAATAATTGAATATCTCTTTTTTGTCCTAGTTTGCAACTTGTCGTTAGTGCTCATGCATGACTTAATACGTTATTGACAAGTGTGAGGAAGACTTTCTTATGGTGGACACCTTTTTGGTAGTTTACCTCATTAGTAATTTAATTCTAGTTGTCATAGATAAGAGGTTTAGATCCAGGGACTTTGTTGAAAAAATAGACTTTTTTGGTAGCTTGCAAATAGCGTGCATTTCACTTGAGTTGGAGTTTATCATCTGGATATATTTGTACCAGCCTTTTTATTTATTTATATTTTAACACAAATATTGGTACAAAGGGTCACTGAGTACATATGCGCCACACAAGTCACTTGATTTGTGTGTGGGCTGTGATACTGTCCGGGTGCCCATATCGAAACAGGTGATTTTCGTAGGCGGGCACACCCGGAACCTTCTACCTAAAAGTCTGACCAACAAGACAGTGGACCAACGTCAGGAGATTCAGTCCTATGGTAGCCGGTGACCAATAATTGGTCCACACGCCATTTGTTCCCTCAGGATCCTGGAGCCCATGTTCACCATTGGTTTGGAATCAGGGTTTTCCAACTCCCCTTGGCGGCTACTCCGTATCCATCAACCCCGTTAATTGACGGACATTGGCTTTTCATTCTCTCAATTTCGTAAACAACAGCCTTGTTGCTTTAACTGATACTTGAATCGATCACCTATTGGCTTAGATTACATATCATTATCGGATAAACTGTCTAGTTATGATGACCACCTTTCGTTCAAAAAACTATCAATGGTTATGTGGATAGTCCAATGATTTTGAATGCGTGCCTCGATTAGTTATGAAAAATATTTGTGAATTGTGTACTTAGTGGCACTTAATCGTTTTTATAATTATTATCATTATTGTGATTATTATTCATGTTTAGTATCAAAATTGTCCGCTATTTGAATTTGCTAAAATTCATCTCTGAACATTTCAGGTCATTGATTCTAATAACCAAGTTACAAAATCTACTGTTATAATAAACCTTATTTTATTTTTCTTAATCTGAATAATTTTCATGTGGTTAAACACTAAGTGCTTATCATACATCCATATATCAAAGTGGTCGGATAAGTTATAATAATATTTTGTTCAATGATATCGAAATACTACGATCTCTGTTTGGAGATATCATATTTCTTTTACTTGTCACATGTTAACTAAGGATCTTGAAGCTGATTTTTATCATAGACGTGGGGCGATCGAATTTTCTCTGAAAAACCAGGGAATATTGGGAATCTGTTTTATCCTAATCTAGAACGTTTAGGTCCTACGATAAGCAAGATAAATCCCCACCACTGAGCCAAGATAGCACAAAACGATGAAAAAATTGTCAACTCATTACTGAATAGTAATTAGTGTTATATTACCTTGTTCTTTTTAATGTGTAGCTATTGAACATAAATTCACAAAGATTACTGCATAAATAATAACAAGAAGGAAACTCATAACGAAACCTACTCTTCAAAACACGTGTAAAAAGCTAGTACATATATCAGCATATATATTAATTAAATCTGTGTTTTGTCAGACAAAACAAAATTTTGAGCAAAGATTGAAATTCAGCATAGATTTCAGTAAAGAACAATAGTCTAAACAGTTTGAGACATCGACTTTAATGTCAGTGTTCCTTGAAAAGTAACTAACCCTAACTATTTTGTATCTTCAATTATCTAACAGCATATAAACTGTAGCACGATACAAATTTGTGAATCCTAACAACAGTTAGAAAACCGGGCGTTGAGCATTTGTATTAAACCAAGAAACGGTGGATGTATTTTTATTCCAATCGAGTGTTATACCTTTATCTTGAGTATCAAACAGCATTAAATATTAGGTCTAGTGAATGATTGTCACTACTAGTTTTTACACGTGTTTTGAAGAATAGGTTTCATTATGAGTTTCCTTCTTGTGATTATTTATGCAGTAATCTTTGTGTATTTATGTTCAATAGCTATCCGACCTCTCTATCAATTCATAAACTTCTTCTTTGTTCGATTAATTATTTGCTTGTAATAAAAAATCATGAGTAAGTAGGAACCTTTATGGGTATAGCGAACTGAAAATACATGCACGACTTATTGATAAATAGAGGTGTATGTATATGAGTATATTCAATCATATTTTCAATCAATTACTTATTTCTGTTTTCTGAGAATGCTAAGCCAGGTCTTGACCATTAGTGTGCTTCCATCAACGTCTCTGTTTTATTACTTGGTCGATTTTTGGTTTCCTCAGCTTTGGCTTCTTGGATTTACCTTTAGTAATTGTGATGGGTGGACATCAATATTCATCTAAAATTAGTGTCTTACTTACATATTTGATATTTGATCTTCCGTAATCAAAGTCCACTGAGTTTTGTTAAACCTAACCATGAATATGCTGACTGAAGCCTTTCTTTTTGAAAAGCTTTGAATAGGGGCATATTTAATCACATTCGATTCTAACTGTTTTCTTTGACATAAAGCTGACATTGAACCGCATCTATTGAGAAG